AGTAGGCTAGACTTTTTAATATGGCAAAAAAGCAAAGACACTGATAATTTCGTTATGTTTTGAATTAATAAGGCACAGCTCAATTTGCAGACAGAAGTAGAATTGCATGGTAAAAAGGAAAAAGAAAACATGTACTTTTAATGTTGCGGTAGTGTTAATGTTGCTATCTATATTGCTTATAAAAATAAAGAAATCTTTAAGCTGCGCTGCTTGCTACTATGCAATTGAAAATGTTTATTTTCAGAATTATGGTTATTCATAAAATGAGAGCAAAATTTATGTTGACTTGCTTGCTTCCTTGCAGTTTATATCATGAGTGTCCAACCTTGCCAACTTGGCAACTTCCAGAACTTTTCAGCAAACAAAGTTGGACACCTCTGGTTTGTATTATTTTAGGTCAGGGAAATATTCACTTGAGAGTAAAACATTGTTGTCACCTCTTTTTTATTTTGCATTCTTCAGGAGGCAACACATAGGCCAGTGGTGGGTTCCGGATTCCGTTGCAACCAGTACGGTTGGAAAGGCCCCAGCATCACCCACATGCATGCACGCGGTGCGTGCATGTGTCCTACTTGTCAGCAAGGCTTACGCAAGCCTCCGCAATGCTCCAGCTGCTCAGCGGAGCATTGCGCAGGCGTTGTATGCATCATGCGTGTGCGCAGAAGCCTTAAAAGACAGGTAAGGAGCGAGGGGGGCCCTCTGGAGCACCGTACAGTACCGGTATCCGGTGCTCCGGGCTGGCTCCGGTACGTCTATACCGGGGCATACCGCCTGCAAGCCATCACTGACATGGGCATACCAGTGAAGACCCCAGATTTTGCTGAACTGTATCTCCTGTCCAGTGGTGGGTTTCAACCAGTGTAACACCCATTTCGCTGAGTGCGCACAGTTTGTTTCAAAACAGCTCTAAAACTTGCCTTCTATTGCAGCTCCGGTGCAAGCAAAAGCTGAGGCGCGGCAATCCGCTTCAAAGGAAATACAGGACAGACTAGCGCAGCGGGTAGGCAGGGCTAACTGATTGCTGGAATTATCGGTTCACGCGAACCTATCCCACCCCTGCTCCCTTCTCTCTTAACTATATTGATTGGGGATGCTGGGAATCCACTCATCTGGAAGACTGCATGTTTTGGCTTGCTTTTTGGTCAGGAAAGTATCATGAAGTCAGTATCATCACCATTACCTTCTTCATTTTCTTTCATGTTACAAGTTTTCAGACTTTGGTCTGCCTGGTTTAACATAAAAGGTGCTCCTTTTAAAACTTAGCATTATAGTTGGTTTTTCTCTCTGTTATCCTCAACTGCAAGAGGACAGGGAATGGGGAATAGGGACATTTCATTGGCCTGGCGGAAAGAACAGCTCCTGTCACTGAACTGTACCTAGTTAATCATTGTACAAAGATTACTATAATTGAAAATTATTATTAGGAAATGATGTTAATTCTTTCCACTTTTTCCCTGTCCCTCTTCCCTTCTGTGTCATGTTTTTTAGATTGCAAGGCTGCATGAAGAAACTATAGAAAATAGAAAAATGGCATGGCTACCGAAGTAATGTATCATGTACCACTTCAAGCTTCCTTCATCTTTTGCAGTGCTGGCAGAGACTTCTGGGAATTGTAGTTTAGCAAAATCTGGCAGGATTCAAAACTGCCCACTTCTAAAATATTGTAAATAAATCTGTATAATTGGGGGAGGGGAGTTTCCTGAGTACATGGAAAGAAAAGCTCCATTTTTGCAAAGTACCCCCTTAATAGTCCATGCTGTTTAGAGACAATTAAAATGGATTCCTTCTGCTAGAGATTGACAATTAATGCAACACATAGTTTTTAATACATTTGTAAAATTAACTTGTTAATTCAGCTGGGAATGGGTAGGAAGCATTTAAAAATACAAGGTATTGTTGGGGGCAAATAAGGCTTTTTAAAACTTACAATATCCTATAGATTGGAAACGTCTAAATCTGGCCCACCTAACCTTTAAATGTCATCACCACCTACATGAAGTACTAGCATATTTACTTCTCTGTAGTGTCTTTCTAGAAATAATCATAAACCTAAGAATGCATAAATTCTCTTGCTTTCTACAAGCCGAAGTTCCAAGACAAATTGGCTCAGACTTTGGTTTTTTTAACCTTTAAATCTCCATGTGACCTTCATTTTGAACATGTCCCTTCATATTTGATTCCCTAGCCAGCTTTCTGTTTAATAAGAACAGTCTCTTAAGTTCCAGATTGTAGAGAACAAGTTGATTTCTGTTAAAACATACTTTCCCTGCTGCTGTCCTAATTGTGAATTTTTCTTCTGAAGGAGTTTTGTAGTATTATTAGTAGTATTACTAATACTAGTAATGTAGTATTATAG